GGCCCCGCAGGCACTGCCGTTGTCCCGCGGGCAGAGCAGCCCCTCGCACCGGGCGGGCGTGCACGTCTCCGCTCGGAAGCCACCGCAGATCTGGAGAGGGAGAGAGCAGCGGGGAGGTGAGGGCACTCGCCTCGCTGGCGAGACCTCACTGCCCTCGGGGAGGCAAACCAGCACAGCACAGGGGCCAAAGCTTCGGCAGATCCCGCCAAGAGAGCTGGGGAACCTGCTGCGGGAGGCTCCGCGTGGGAATAGGGATGGAGCCGGCCCCCCCCAGCGGGGCTGATGGTGATGCGTGCGGCACAGCCCAAATAACTGGAGAGAGATCATGACTCTGTCAGAGAAGGGCAGACAGGGCTATGCACGTGTACCGCAGCGCCGAATGCCCACACCTGAGACAGCAACGAAAGGTCGCATCTCCTCCCCACCCCAAGCCGGAGCAAACAGGAGCAAAGCAGGAGCTAAACCCCAGCGGCTCACGCAGAGTAACAAGGCGTGTCTGCACGGAGCAAACACCTCATTTACTCGCAGGACAGAAACTCTTCCCCTCGTGGCAGGGGAACCCCGTCCAAGCTTGCAGTTTGCTTTGGGATGAGATGACCCTGGACGTCAGTGGTTTTAAGCGCTTGGCATCTTCTAGAGCTACCACCCAGCCAAGAGGGCACTGCAGCAGGGGCACGCGCAAACCCAGAGCCAGTGCAAGCACAGGCTGGTCGCTTGGGAACGTGTTGGTGCCCTGAAAAGCAGAGAGGGGAGGCTGGTGGTCTCCACAGCAACCGTGCATTAGGAGACACCGAAATGGATCTCCATGGCAATAACAAAGCAGCGAAGGAGAAATAAAAAGAAACCTCATCCAGAAATTAAGTGGGTCTTTGAGATATAAGAACGGAGACATGAGAGAGTCCTTGGAGGAAAAAGCGCGTGCCTGGGCGGGGGTGGTGGGCAAAGCTTCGGTGTCTGTGATCCCAGGCACAGGATGCTCACCCACTGATGTCCCAAAGCAGCAGGTTGCTTGGATGCCATTTCTGAGTCGCTCTGGACAGAGACTTTGTCCTGCCAGGCCGGACTGTTTGAGGAACAGTGCACAACTGCAGGATGAGACTCCTGCCTCCCGCGCACTACAGGGCCCTCTTGAAAACTAGATACGTGCAGCGGGGAAGTCAGAAAACCACTTTGTATCATCACCTTATTTATGGCAGGCGTCAGGTTGGGAGATGAGGCTATCTCGCCCTTCAGGGTCAGCAGCTTGGAGGTGGACTCCGTAAGCCCCCCCTCCAGCCCCGCAGCACTCCTGCGGCTCTCCCGGGACTCGGCCAGCAGCCCGGCCACACCGGCGACGAGTCTGCTGGCATTGGTGGACGTCTGGTAAGCAGATCTGATTGTCTTGAAGGCTCCTGCAAGAATAAAACCGACAAATGACACAAAAGCTTCCATGACTCATAAATGCAGCACAGCTACCTAAACGAAGGCATTGACTACACCCTGCGAGCGGATGGTGCACAGGGAGGAGCAGGACCCAGCCAGTGTGATTAGTGACTAAGGCACAACGGAAAAGCTCCTATTATTTCCAAATGCCTTTCAGCCATTCCATCAGTGAGCTACAGGGCTCTCCTGAAGGACTGAACCCTGGGTTGGGGTTAAAAGACTGAAACAAAACTAAAGCAAGATTACATGCTCATGCGCTGACCCCGGGCTTTGCTCCGTGCAGCCCCGAAGGGCTTTGGTGGGGCAGGACAGGGCTTTCGGAGCCCTTTGCCTGGCCCCCCGAGCGAGCCTCCCCATTCCCCTCCAGCACGGCCTGGAAGGGGAGCAGTCAGGACACGGACCTCTAAGCCCTGCTCGGCCGGGGAGGTGCAGAGCCAACTCGCCCAGGCAGCGGCCGCTCGCTGCAGCTCGCACGCCCCCGGCCGGCTGAGCCGTGCGCTGCAGCGGGGAGGGGGAGGCAGCAATGAGACACTGGCAGAGAATTAGCTGCAGCGGGGATACAACGGCAGCCTACCGCCAGCATCATCCCAGGGCTTAATTAGCTCTTCTCCTAAGTGCCTGACAGCCGCCTGGCTCTCTTCCCCACCCCTCCATCCCCTCCATCTGTGCACAACCTCCATTATCTCAGTTTCCTCCCGAGTTCGTTGACACGTTCCCAGCGGGGGTCACCCCCTCCCACCCCTCCCACTGCGCCCCAGCAGTGGAGTTTGTGCTGGCCAGGGGACAGGAACGCGGTGCCCACGGAGCGAGCCGCCCAGCCCCAAAACGACAGAGCGAACAACCCGACAGTGCGAAATCCTGGTCCACGGACCAGAGGCTGGGTAGAAAGCATCCCTCACGTTGGGGAGGGAAGATCTGTTTGCTGCTCCTAAGCTGACAGCAGGTTAAAAGCTCCATCTCATCCACCTGGCCAGTGGGAAACCACCAGGCACAGTCACGTTGGGGTAAATTAACAGCTACAAATTAAGAGATATTACAGCTGCAGCGCTGTACCTGACAGATCTGTGCTGCGGCTGGTGTCAAACTGGGTCTTCTTGCTCTGATACTGGGCGCTAGCGATAAGCAAGCTGCTGTTGAGGGCTTCGAGCTCCCTTGACAGAGAGGCAGTCTCATCCAGAAAACGAAGGTCAGGATTTATGCCTTGGACCTGCTCTCTGGGAGAGAAAACAGAAAACACAAATTCAAGCAGAAAGCAAAGGACCTGTAGATGGAGCGCAGGGCCCATCTGTGCTGGGACACTGCTGACACCCAGTGACACCTCTGGGCCTGGAGAGCTGACGGCCGAGGACACAGCATGGCCTTGCAGGTTGGCAGAGGCAGCAGGGAGCGGCGCTGGGCTACGGCTCTCCCACGCCAGGCCAGCTCGCAGGGCCATGGCCACGCAAGGACCAGGCACACTGAACACGCCCTGAGCCAGAGCCTGCCCGCCGGCCTCCTTCCTTTTGCCCAGGATGGGCACACGTGGAAGCGCTGTTCTCTTGCCTCCCCAGGCACCTTGTGAGCAGAGCAAGATTTTCGGTTACAGAAGCAGAGCAGAACCTGTGCAAGCGGCTCCGTGTGACAAGTGGAGCGAGCACAGAGAGAAGAGCCAGCATCTCCTCCCGGCTAAGGCACGCACCCCCCTGCCCCTCACCTGATCGCAGCGAGCGCGCTGCCCACCCGGGCCAGGCTCTGCTCCGTCGCAGAAGAGCGGCCGAGGCTGCGA